AAAAAACTTATTTGGATATATATATATATATATACATATATATACATATATAAAGCTTAGATACCTGCTTTCTGCATTCGTGTACTTAGTTGACCTCTTGTAGACAATGTGTCACCATCATCCGGATGGTCTTTACTCTCATTAATCGGCTCAGCTTCAGTCCAGTCAGGAGGAGAGTGCCACCTAACAAAATCTTCCAGAATACAACCAGGATTTGCAGCCTAGAAAACCACAATGAAAAGGAGTTAGTTTAAGTAGATAAATGGGATCCAGCAAATCTACGAGATAAGGAAGCCGGCATATTATTTATTTATATACTTCAACCTTGAAAGCCTGCATGTCAGAGAGGAGTTGCGAACATCCAGCACCAACGCTGACCATAAAAGAAAAGGCAATTTATTAATAACATCTACATTTAGCAATATGTGTGTGTGTACATATGTATATAGACAAATGCCCACACATATAATTGGCATATGAGTAGTAGAAACTAGCAAAAGGAAGCTACAAAATAAAATTCTCGTTGTTTTAATAAGGTATGTAACAGATTTAGATGCAACAAACACTAGAAACATAGGACAGGAACACTTTATAAGGGTTCAAGCATTAATTCAGGTGTTATAATATAAACATCACCAAAGAACCTCATAATTTAAAGAAGATTAAGGAATCATCATTAAAACTGTTAACAGAATCAAATAGCTGATCGTTTAGGGAGTGGATCAAATACAAACCTCCCAGTTCGAAGCACAAACTCCTCTGTTTCTTTGATAAGATCTTCAGTAAGTAAGGGTCCTTCCTAAATAATGATGCAAAGGATCTTATTTATAGGAGTAGTACACATAGTAAACTTTTAATAGTACAGATTATTACTCAAACCTGGGTTACAGGGGAGTACACAGGTTCCCCAGTTTCCAACATTGTTAGATCACCAGATGGGCAATCAGCACCTAGTCGAAGAACAAGTTCGCCAGTATTGATTCTAGCATATAATATAGCACTCGCTGGAATGACATCTTTGGGAGCAGCTGATTCTTCAGAGTTTGCACCGGTTCCCTTTATGACCGAGTCTAATGACTGATTGGCAATGTCTCTGCGGCTTTTCCGTGAAACACAACAATTAATAACTTGCAGTTGTTGATAAAGAAGACAAGAATTTAGATCTGGAATCTCATCAAGAGGGATGCTAGGTATATATTTTTCCTCCAACGAAAGTCTCCTCAGCTGCACCCACAAAAGAATTAGGAATATAATGTCAAAACCAACAATAAATGATTAGGTAATAATCGCAACGTTGTATTTTAATTAATAAAAGCCCAAATAATCAGAGTTTCAATGACACCAAATGGTAACTACGATGTTGTTTGACTCCTACAATACAGTCATAAAATGTTTGGAAAATGATAGTCAAATTTAAGTAGTTATTCTACCAATCACAGTTTTATCCACAGTTTCAGAATTGACAATTCAAATGATGAGTTTAGTATCATAAACAAATATATATAGTCGTCTAAAATTAAATCCACTGACATAGAAAGATATCAAATCTATTTTTTTTTTCCAGAAAATAAATGGCTACAGATCAAAAAACAAGAACTAAGAACTACAAGACATTATATTTAATATAAACATTTGTAGAAAGTCGGATAATCATTTTTGTAGAGACCACTTACTTCAGCAACAACTCTGCACCAAAACAATGCCATCTTTTTGACATTTTTGAAGCTCCCAATAACTTCAGCTACCTTTACAATGAGGCTTTGGGGAGGTGCACCATGTATGTCTCTTGGAAAAGATGTCACACTAATTGCCTCTGAACCAGAGCCAATCTTCCGTTTGAGAAAAGTTCCATCTGCAAATATCTTGCAGAATGCAGATATTACGATGCAGTAAAATATCACAAGAGAATATAAATTAATTCAAATAAATAAATAAATAATTTATTCAACAAGATACTCTACCTGCATTAAACAGTGATCGAATCAAAGATAAAACCTTATCATTGCTACCAAACTCAGATGTAAGCTTATCCTCCTTATCACGAAGCACTAATGACTTCACCACTGAGAGACTTAGGCCTCCTCTCTCTCTGGCAGGTGAAGAACCTCCAGATGATGCCAAGAAGTCTTTCATTGATTTGGACTTCTTTCCGGCCCTGTATGAAGATTTAAAATTAACATGGCAAAACGTTACGAACGTCATCTACAGTCTGAAAAATCAACATTTAGGCAGGGAGCCATTTTAGCACTTGAAACAGAGTAAGTAGACATGTTAATCATTGCAAATTTTCACCACATAAAATGGTCACCAACATGTCAATTTTTGTGAATGGCTCGATACTTTAAATTCTAGAACAAATTCCAAATAATGGGAATAAGAATACCTGGGTCTTGCACAGCCTGACTACAAGCATGTGGTGATAAGTTGATTCAAAATTTAACCACAAAACGAGAGCAACACACACATATTAAGTGATGAATTGCCAGAATGCAAAGAGTAATAACTTACTCAACAGCTATGGCCAATTGTCTTATAGCGGATAGTGGAGGAACAAGCCCATTGTTTGCAGCGCTGAAACTTTCTACCGAAGGAATTGCTTCCGCAGCCTGGAGATATTAAATCCCAGTTATCATTGAAAACTATAAGGGGGAAAAAAACACTTATTTATACAAGCAAAGGAAAAAATAGTTGATAATAGCATAATAATTCAAATTCAAATCAGAATTACAATCATCGAATCTGCACCCAAAAAAACGTGCCACTCAGATTTATCTAACAACATAAAACACATATCAAAGAACTTTCCATGGTTACTACTTGCCTTTTTTTTCATCCGCTGCCAAAATCATACATCAAATTGAAGTAATAACTAAGAAATTTCATGACTTGTTTAGAGTGTTCTTGCTCATAAAAAACCAATTCCACCTAGGACTTTCACTTCCCTTATGTAAAAAGATCACCCTGTTTTTACATAACAAGACTTATTATCTAACTTTTCACTCGCAACTCCAGCATATAAGAATTGACCACATACGAATATGATGTTTCTCACCTTAGCTTCTTGGTCATTTTTCATATTCAGCAAGTACAAGTTCTCATCGTAAAACATGTTTGAGTTTTCAGCTTTCTCAGTTTCTTCGTCTCCTTTTCTCCCAATTGTAATGTTTCTCAGCCTTTCCTGCCAATCCTGCTTTGTCTTTATCTGTGCCGGTCTCCACTTCAACTGCTTGAATTCAGACAAAATAAAAAAAATATATGCATTTATATATTCAAACTTCAAACCGGAACTAATACATTATACATGTATTTCAAATTGCGAGTTGGTAGGAAAAAAAAGTTCAATAAATTGCATACATTTCCTTAAATTATTGAGAGCGCGTTCAAATTTGCATGAAATATAGTAATAGCGAATCAAATGAGTTTAAACAAGGAAATGTTATAAGGGCTCTTTGTAAAAACGACTCAAGAGGAAAGTTTTATTTGTCAAATAACTTTTCAAAAATTTTTATTTGCAAAATGACTATGGAACGACCACTGTTTACAAAGATTCCTCATTTTTCATTTTGCCAATTTCACGGATAGTTTCAGAAAATTCAAAATAATTGAAAAATAATAGCGTTGATATTGGATTTCTCTTTTTTTTTTTTTTCTGTTCCCAGCGAAGAAGAGAAAATCAAACACCTATGCATGATTTCGTTCTTGATCCTACATTTCAGAAAATCCAGAAACTTAATAAAATCGATCATACAAACGAAATTCGTAAAAAAAAAAAAAAAACAAAACAAAAACAAAAAAAAAAAACAAAACAAAACAAATAAATAAAAATACCTTTGACTCTCCATCGTTATTTAGAGATTCAGCCCCGTTCACTTGAATCAAATTCTTCGGCGATTGCTTATCCGAATCTTCACACCAATTCAACGATCACACAAACATTCATTTCAAACCATATTCAAAAACGAATAATAGTAAAATAAGAAAAAATATATATACAAATTGAAATCAATCGCAATTCGCAAAATGAAGAATGAAATTGAAGTCGCGAAAGGTAAACAGAAAGTCTCGAAGCAGTAAAGAAATAGTAAACGGAGAAGGAAAAAAGAAAGGAATTTGAGCGAACGAAATTTAAGGTGAAGATTTAGAGAGAGAAAGAAGAGAGAGAGAGAGAGAGATAGAGAGAATTGCGGACCTCGATCGGACTTGAAGTCAGAGAAAACTCGCTCCGCTTTCGCAGCAGCGGAATGCAAGGCGGTCCTCGCTTTGGATACAAAGGAATTGTTAGGTGCTTCCATGGCTGCATATCCTGCACCCCACGCTGTGCGCAGGTTAAGGAATCATGGTTTTTGATTGATTTCGCAAAGAGAGAGATATATAGTGATAATATAGCGATAGCCTTCTTTTAGCTGGAGAGGACTCGCAGTAAGATGGACGGAGACGGAGACAACTTTTGAATTATTTATTAATTATTATCCCTATCCTTTTTTTTTTTTTTTTGTTGCTGAATAATCTAAATTTTTTATTTGTATATATTTGTTGTTTTCGCGTCATTTTTTTTATTTATCTACAAATACTTTGCTTATTAAAAACAAGTGTTATTTCAAATTTTTATTCTCTCTCTTTCGCTTTCTAGGGTTTTCCTTTTGGTATAGTTGCGCTATCTCAACAGGAGAGTTCGAAGGGTCGGTGTCCGATGCAACTTTTAGGTTGGTCTTCGGACTTCAAGCCCCATAGAAGGGTGTCCGAGCGACGCGGCGGGAGTTGCACCTTAGATTGGTCGATGCGCCCGCATTTTGGGGGAAGAGAAAGGGCTCGGGGGAGGGATCCAAGGCGTGCTTGCTGTTATTTTTGGCAACGCTTAGGTGCCGACATTCCTGAGGGCGTAGCGGTTTTACTATTTGTCAGGCGAAGATGGTAGAGAGGCGGCGCTTTTCTCTGTGGGTTGGCGGTGCGCTAGTGCTCGGAGTTCTTTTCTCCTTGAGGACTTTGATCTATGTGGTTTAGTGTGTGTTCATTGTTTAATTGAATTTTTATAATAATAACGGAGGTGATCTCTCCACTTTTTGAGTGTTTGTCAGCTCGTTCTTGGTGCGTCGAGGTACTTTCCTAACCTCAGACATATATTTTACCCATGGAGTGTTATTAAGTTATATTAGTGGAGCGTGACTCAGTTGAGAATTAGGCTTTGTAATACATGGTCATTCACATTGTACTATTGTTTAGCATAAATGAAATTTCCCTTAAAAAAAACAAGTGTTATTCCATTGTCAATGTATTATGATTTTAATTTAAATTTTTTTGAAAGGGATTTTAATTTAATTTATTTAGGCTTAGGCAGCGCTAAATTCACCTTCTTATTAGTATTAAGATTAAGATTTAGATCTAGACTCTAGAGTTTGAATCTTCCTACTTTAAAAAAAAAAAATGTATTTTAATTTTAATCAATAGTTATTAAAATCTTTTAATGTGAAATTATCAGTGTTTATGCTACTTATTGGGTTTAATTGATCCTTTAGGAAAAAAAAAATTAAATAAAAATCTTTAGCAAGAAAAATAAAAATAAAAATTGTAGGGTGATTTGTCATCATGTTGTTCGAGAATATAGGTAATATTGGGATTTTCTTTTATTTTGTTTTTGTTGAAATGATAAGATATCTGTTATATAAAACCTTCAAAAGAAATTAAATAATTAGAAAATTTAAATTTGGGTCCTAAATGGATAAGATTGGGAACTTGTAGAATTGCAAATTAAAATATAACTTAGACATTTTGCTTAAGCATTGAAAGTCTAAGTGGGAATTTCTGGTCTATCTTTTACGACTTACGACATGTATGTGAATTTTTACCAAACGTGTAATTGGGCACGGTGCAAATTTGACAAGGCAAAGATGGTTTTGAATCGGTCCCACTTGAATTGTTCTTTTTTTTTTTTTTTGACAAGGTAAATGGTTTTGAATTGGTTCCAATTGAATTGGTTCCAATTGAATTGTTCTATAGTTCCAATGAACAACACTTTTTTTTCGAAGTTTTTTTTTCTTTTTTTTTTCCCCCTCTTAGTGATCATCACCTTTCATTTTCAAGTATTTTAACCTGTGTTAAAAATATAGTTTTACACGAAGTAGAACATTATATATATATATATATATTGTTATGAAACTAAGAAAATATAAAACTTAGAAGAAAACATTTTAAAGAGAGAAATTAAAGAGAGAGTTTCATTAATCTTGTGAAAGTATATAAAATAAAGAGTATTAGAGCTCTATTTGTAAGAAAATTTTTGACATTATTCACCGTTACTATTTGCATAGTACTTATAATTTACGGTTATTATTTGCACAATAAAATTCTGACATGAATAATAACTCTAACTAACTTGCATAATAACTCTAACTAATTTGCATAGTAACTCCAACTAACTTGCAGGATGAACAGTTACTGTTCATAACATATATATATATATTTATTTATTTATTGAAAGGGAGTTGAACAATTGACAAAAGGCTCAATTTAGGTCGTATGGAATTCAGGTCCAAATTCTATGCGGATTTACCGAGACCATTTGTTATCCATTTCACAATGAGGACAAATCACCCCTAACAAAAGTCCAAATATGAAGATTCTTATAATAAGGTATTTATTTGGAAGATTCTTGATCATATTCTCTCTAGCTAGCTAAGAAATATTGAAGAAGAAAATAAATTTAATTGGTAAATATTTTTAGCGCAAATTATTATGATTTTAGTATTTGTTGCACCAATCTCAAGATCGAGTTGATGTAGGAAAATTTTTCTAATAGAGCTTTTACCTTACGATTTAACATCTTGGGGTCAACGTGCATAAAATGTAATTTTCCCTCTCAAAAAGAAAGAGTTGGAACTATTTTGTACCGATTATATTAATACATCTATGTTTGGTATGATGGAAAAGTAAAAGGAAAGAAGTGAGTAGAAAGATTATTTGATGAAAAATAATAGAGTTAGTTGTTTGGTAAAAAAGAAGAGATGAGATATAGAAAATTTTATCTCTCTAATATTATGAGGAAAACGGGGCCCGTTTAGTTCGCTGATTCGAGTTTTTAATTCGAGTTGAGATGTGATTTTATATGAGAGCTTTTTACTGTAGCAAAAAAGTTAGATTTGATTGTTTGTGAGAGCTTTTTACTGTAGCAAAACTCGAATCAGCGAAATGAACGGGGCTTCAAATCCACTCATTGATGGTTAAATTTACTTTTGTGTTCTTATTTTAAAATATAAATTAATATTAAACAATTAATAAAATAATTATTTAGGTTATTAAATGTTTTTTTTCTCTCATTATACCAAACACTATAAAAGAAAATTAACTTTATTCATTTTCTTCACATTTTCTTCACATTTTCTTTCTTTTATGTATTTTCTTTTCATTATCTTTTCTTTCTTTCGTACTAAACGGACCCAAGCTTTTGAAATTGTGACTAGACGCGTATTGTTTTTAGAAGTTGTTGTATTACATTTTATTTATAAGTGGAAAACCGAAAAATAATGTTGGAGTAGGTATGCACGCATGATGAACATGGAGCCCAATCTCCGCGTTAGATGATATTCACATATCATTGTGGTCGGCTAAACAATCCAATTATGAGGAATTAGGATTTTCTAGGTGCTTTCCCTAATAAAAAAATAAAAAAAAGAAGCCTCATTTAATCTTTTCGAACAAGCTTGTTGTCAAATAAACGATTTGGGTGTTGAAAAACCAAGTTGAGAATTACATTTCATCAATTAGAAAAGAGTTTTGTCACAAGACACAAAATATTCTTCTAATTTGTTATTGTTTTTATTTGCATGTCGTTTGAGATTTCTAGTTGTTTTCACGTGTTATTAAACTTAGTTTGATGGGATGAAATCCACTCGTGACCAATAAGATTTGCTTGGTGACGACGCCTCTCGTGTGTGAGTTCTGCCAGGTCTTTTGTGCAACTCTCTCTTAGGGCCGAGGTTCGGCAACGGTGCTTGGCTAGCCTTCAGACTTCCAACCCTAGAGATGGAGATCTGGATGTCGCAGTGAAGGCTCTGGGTTGTGGTTTTTTCACGTGGCTGGGGATTTTGGATTTGAATGACACTGTTGTGCAAGGCCAACGGTTCTTCAATTGTCTCCCTCGGGAGCATTTGTTCATTGATGACTCTTGTCACGACTCTAAAGATGGGGCCGTGATTATTGATATTTAATTTAAAAATTAATTTAATTAAACTGGATTAATTCATGAAAAATAAAGTATATAAATACCAAAATATATTGCTCTGGAATCTTTTTTTTACAAATATTATCAATACAGTCCATAAACTCAAACTTTACACAACTCTGGGATAATGCCGACCAATACAATTTATATACAAATATACAGTACAACGCAAAATTTAAAAACAAACTGCAAATTCAAAGTAGTACGAACCGCTTCTAAGCTGGAGCCTTCAGTCCAAGACATCAACTTATCACAGTGCAAGTCAAGCTGCTAACTCTGGAGGGGGAAAAACATTTAAAAGCATGGGTGAGCCGAATGCTCAATAGGAAGGAAACATGGTACGACAACAAAATAAGAATCGAAACGATAGTTACAATAACCAAAATGTCGATTTAATACCACAACACATGTAAGAGAAATCGGCTCAAACCTGTGAGTCTTAGGCCTCGTTTGCTTCACAGATTCGAGTTTTCAACTCAAGCTGAGATGTGACATTTTTGAAGAGCTTTTAACTGTAGCAGAAAAAGTTAGATGTGACATTATCTGAGAGTTTTTAACTGTAGAAACTTAAAACTGAAAACTCGAATCGGTGAAATGAACAAGGCCTTAGTAAATACCATCAAATGCAGAATGGGGCCGATAACCAAGTATCTCAAACTTTTTTAAAATGCTATATTGTCCTCAAATTCATTTCAAAAATGATAAGACATCTATTACCCAAATAGTCCACAAAGACTAAGGGGCTGTTCTTTTGCCATTTTTGAGTTAGGTGATTTGAGTGTAGATTTTGAGTTGAGTTTGAGTTATAACTTGAGTTGAAGTTGTAACTTGAGTTTGTGTTTGGTTGTGTACATTTGAGTTATGGTTTGAGATAAGAATCTTTTTGAGTTTGTGTTTGAGTGAGTCAAAACTTGAATTTGCATTTAGATAGTATTTTAATAAAAACTCAATGTTGATGGAAAATTTTAATAGGGTATATGGGTGGGGTTTTATTTATTTTTTCGTTGTCAACACATATAAAAAAATCATCTCAATCAAAATTAAAACGAAAAAGTTATAGCATTTTTAAGAATAGAAAAAATACTGTTCATTAATTTGAGTTCGAGTTTCTGAACTCGAGTTGAATGGGAAACTTGAACTCGAGTTTGAGTCCCAAACTCGAGTTCAAACTTAAAAAAACATGAACTTGAATAA